ACTTACATAGAGAATATCCCTGCAGAGTTTCAGCTTTCTACTTAGCCTGATTCGCGAAATCGTTTCCCGCCAATATATTTCTTTGGGAGTCCCGTACGCGGGGTCTAGGCGCGTATGGGGAGAGATCTTAAAGCGAGAGGATGACACACGGGGTTGGAACATGTATCTAAAGTTTCAGCCTCCCAGCTTTCCTGGTTGCTGAGACGAAAGTGGGTGACAAAAAGCACTCGCTTCCCGAACACACACACAAACACACACACAGACAGCCTCTCGACACTGTAGCGCTGTACAGCAAAAACGCATGATCTCAAGGGGCCATCCAGGCGCAGGTCGCGGATGATTATTTAAATGCTTTTCGTACGAATCGAAAGAATAGAAATGCAGTACTCATATATGCGTGTCCGTCTGTTCTTTAACTGTCAGACCAGGCGATTCAGCTTTATAACTGCAAGCATCCAAAAAATTATTTTGAGAGCGAAGGTTAGGATCATGCATAACGCACTACCGCACCACAAAAAAGCCGAAACAAAGCGATGTGGTTTTCTAGCTTGGAATCGCCAACACGAAATTTGAACTTAGAAGCGGGACAAGACATCGAAATCACAAGCGCCGCCGGAGAAATTCAGCTATCATCGCTTCTTGATATCAGTATCAATTCCAAACAGGTTGTTCAGTGTTAATTTTAAGAAAGCCGAACTAAAAATCTTTATTTTTGTCTAATACGTACTTTTTTAATAGGACTTTTAATGCCTGCAAGCGAGTTGCCTTTAGCCTGTATCAGTTAAATTTCTGAGAGCCGTTTCTTGCCTAGGAACCCAGTAACTATTAGTTCTTTCCTAACTACCTTCGTTATACATTGTCACATGGTTTTCCTGTTTATTCGTTTTTGCATATATGCAGATGCAAAAAAGCATATTATGGCGATCCCTGTGTTTGTATGTGTGGATGTGCATCTGTCCGGATATTTCAACTCGGGAACCAAGCAAGCTCTGGCGCCAAAATTTTGCCTGTGAGTTTCCCGGCCAAGTGCTATCCCAGGACCGAGTTAAAACCCTCACGCGCGCTTAGGCGTCGTATACGACCTCGTGAGAATTTTGGCGAGAAAACCACTAACTCGGAACCAGAAAAGCTAGAAAGCTGAAATTCTGTGGTTATGCCCCTGTTCACATAGAACTCAGGGACTTCAAGTTCAGCCCCCAGCTATGTGTGGTTTTCACATACGAAACCGTTGAAGGTTTCCGACGGGAAAATCGCTAATTTGGGAATCAAGAAAGCTGGAGGGCTAAATTTTAAGGGAGGCTCGCCTGGTGCGTTTCGTCAATGATTTTAACTGTTTACCCATGTCTGATAATATGAGAATTTATTATGGGGAGATCAGCTCTACGTTTCTGCTCATTTACAGGCCATTCATTTCATCCAAGAACTCATATCCTCGTTGTCACTTGTTGGCTCAAAAAGTCCATATCCGGTCTCTGACATCAGTCCATACTAGAATTATGTTACAACTTGAAAATGCGAAGAGCAGCATTTTTGTATTTTTACTAGACTAGTTTTTAGATGGACTCGGGAAGCCTCACGGCATTTTGACTTATTGCCTCGGATCTAAATTCGAGCTGCTGTAAACTCGATTCTCTCAGAAACTGAATTAATTATTAAAAGTATCATTGCTTTACGACAGAGTTTTGTTAAATCGTTTTGGAAATTGCTAGGCAAAAACTGCTTTCAACCCAAGTGTTTCGTATCACTTGTGTGATTTTCGGCTAAAGAGCAGCACTAAAGCTACGTTTTTGGTAGTTACATGTGCTGGTACAAATTAAGTCATCTGAAACAAATTTTAAAATTCGTTAACGCATTCATCTATTCTGTATGCCTGCGATAATTTTTCATAACCCAGGATGGAACACACCAGGTGGGCCGGTGGGATTATGCGTTTTTGCACTTTTCGTGCCGTAACAAGATCGCAAGGAATCGCAATAGCTACCCTGTGGCATACTGGCCTTCGAAGTTCGGGAAGTTAATTGTGCAGCTGTGTGGTATGTCAGTTGTAGATGTCGACTTCAG